TCCAAAAGAGCACCTGATCACTCCTGCATGAAGCTGACCCGAATCCTGACCACGAGCGCCTGACTGTGCCCTGAGAGAGCGGCGGCGTGCGTGGCCCCCATCCCACCCCTATTCCACACACCTGTACCACCACCACCACCACCACACAAGCCTGTAAGCCTTGCCAACCTGTTTTGGGAGGAGGGCAGGGCGTCACAGAGGATGGAGGGGAGGGAGAGGCAGGCAACAAGAAGGCGAGACGTTCCAGGGAGCGGAGGCAGTGGAAGGAAGGAAGGACGGGGTGCGGGCTCAGGGAGCGGCGGGGGGTGGCGGCACCGCCAGGCCCGCACCCCTCAGCGCCGCCTCCAGCTGGCGCACCCGCTCCTGCAGCGCGCCCACCTGCCGCTGCACGCCGCCCTGCACCGCCTGCTGCATCACGCGGCGCAGCACCGCCTGCCGCTCCCGCTGCTGGCCGCCGCCGCCGCCCGGCCCCTCCTCCTGCGCCTCCTCCTCCGTCAGGCTGCCCTCCCGCAGGCGCCGCTCGATGCGGGCGTGCCTCTCCGACTCCCCCGCCGACACCGACCGCCGCATGCCCGCCAGCGCCTCCACCAAATGGCGCTGCCGCAGCGGCGGCGCCTGCGGCGGGGGCTGCGCCGCGGCGCCGCCCGCTGCCGCCTCCTGCTGCTGCGCCCAGCTGCGCTCCGCCGCCACCAGCTCCCGGATGGCTGCTGTGCCCGCTCGGCGGCACACCTCCGCCAGGTCAGCGCCGCTCATGCCGCGCGTGGCCTCCCCCGCCAGCTCAGCCAGGTCCACGTCAGCGCCCAGCGGGCAGCGCGCCAGGCGGGACGCCAGGATGGAGGCGCGGGCGGCGGCGTCGGGTAGCGGCACGCGCAGCAGGCGGTCGAGGCGGCCGGGGCGCAGCAGGGCGGGGTCCAGAGCCTCGGGCCGGTTGGTGGCGGCCAGCAGGAACACGCCGCCGCGGTCTGCAGGGGCAGGGTGGTAGGGCCTGGTGGTGGTGGTGGTGGTGGTGGCGGTGGCTCAGGACCCTGCCCTGCTGCGCGCCGGCCGCCTCGACCGCTTGCTGCGCGTGCCGCTACACGACGCCGCCGCCCGCGCCTCCATCCTGGCGTTTTGCCTGGCGCGCTGCCCGCTGGGCGCTGACGTGGACATGGCTGAGCTGGCGGGGGAGGCTACGCGCGGCGTGGGCGGCGGCA